AGGATTTATTATATGCATAATACTTATTGTAGCGTCAACAATCGTGAAAAATTGTGACTTTCGGGCTTCTTCGCCTGTTTCCCGTTCTATGTGATTTTTACTGACATTTGAAATTTTCTTTGCAAATTTTTTCACTGGCCACACGAATTTTCACCATAAAACTAACCGTCGACCGCGGGTCGAGAAACGTTTCGGGTGACGTATAATCGATCAGACCGAATTCCCCTCTTGTCGCCAATCCCTTAAATCCGCCCACCTATCACTTCGCGGTATGTAAAGGGTGTGTTTAGAATCCGACGGGGGCTTTAGAATGGTGCTCGCCCGGCGATTCGTAACAGTCGTGACCGCGTACTCGGCATAATGCGGGAATCGTGTTTCGCATCCGGAAGTATAAGTAAAATACCGCACGCGGCGATAGATGTTCGCCCGGTACAGACGCGCTTTGAAAAACTGGCCGCCAAGCAAACATCTTCGAGAAATGTATCGGGATAGGTCACTTTTTGGTCATATTTAATGCATCATTTCGACAAGATCCCATTATGCTTTCGAACAATTATCTCAAATATATGTGTGATCAAAAATGTTACAATTTTCGATAAATAATATATTCATCAAACAGGTTCTCATATGAATAATCCAAAAGGGAAAATTGAAAGATCATGATTTGATAGCTTTGTGTAAAACCCTACGGATATTGAACTTGAAGGTAGCACGTAACGTGATAGATAATTTATTGCGAGAATAAAGAAGGTTAATACGCATAAACTTATAAGGATATCATAAAATAAAATTTTACGAACTGATTAGGGTTTTATACATGAATGGCATGGGAAGAATTTCATATTATTTCGTGAATATTAATCAAGTAATCCATCTTTAAGAATGCTTGGGAAAAAAAATATCGAAACAAATTTGCACCTTTCGAAAATCCGCGACGACGAAGTTCTATATTGAATACTGAATCTTCGTCGGCGCGCTGAACGGGGGATGAAAGGGGAGGGGGAGTGGTGGAAGTCCTCACCCTTGCCCTCGACCTCGCCCCTTAAGGGTAATAAAACGGCAATTTAATTCGTACACTTGATAAACGCCGCGCCGCCTGCGCGCGCCCGCGAGCTTGGCGAAAGTCAAACGGACGGGGAGGGCTTATTTTGCAAATCATCGCCTCGGCGATAATAAAGCGCACGCCTCGAGAAACAAGGAGCAAAATAAAGGTGCGACGTGAGCGATGACGAAACCTCGCGGGGTCCGCGTTTCACAGGGGATAATGATAAACTGCCGGCGTCAGAGTTAAACGATCGATTATTTCGTCGTGGTGAGATGCGCGCATCTACGCGACGTGATGGAGCGCATACAATAAATTCGAAGCTGAGAAAAGTGCGCGCTCCGCGCGCCCGGTATGCGGGGCCTTCGCCGTTGCTTTACCTTCACCGTTGCTTTGCCTTCGCCGTTGCTTTGCATTCGTTCGATTTGGTGCTCTTCGATCGCGTAAGTGCCACGAGGCAGAAGTAATTGCTACAGTGAACGACGGTTGTTTCATTGCCAAGGCGTCAATAGTTACGAAAAGTTTAATGAGGGACATTCTCCACGAGTTGAGCTTCAGCGGCAAATGATGCGAATAACAAAAGGCACTCTGCATCTTGGTTTGCAATTTTACGGTGAATATATTGTATTCGTATAAAAAAGAAAAATAATTTGCATTACCAAGTATAAACACCGAAATAATTTATGGAAGGTTAAAGAAAACGTGTGTGTGTGTGTGTGTGTGTGCGTGTTCAACAGAACCTTCAATTCGTGGCTAAACGGACATTTATACATCTTCGATATGGATACGCTTTTCGAGTAAGTAGATTTATGTCCCCTGTTTAAAAATTGCAAGTGACTATCAAGGATCATTGCTACGTTATACTTACGGAATAACTTTGCATTCCATCGTGAGCGCATTGAGAACCCGTGGCCGCGTCCGGCCAAACCGCGGCAGAGAGGGGTTGGAAACGTATAGGTAAAGGGGATTTTGCAGGAGAGGGAGGCAGCGGGGGGGAGGGGGTTACTCGTAGGGTGGTTAGTGGCATTCATCGCGATGCAGATGGCTTCCACCCTTCGCGCCGGCAAGAGCGAGAGAAAGAGAGGAAGTGGATGAGAAAAAGAGAGGTCGAGCGGTCCGGGAGTGAACGAGAGGGAGATCACCGCCGCTGTTGCTCCGCTGCTGGCTGCTGCCGCCGTCGTTGCTGCGTGTGCGTGCAACGACGCGCTTTTTCCTACGTCCTTCTGTGCCTTTAGCCTCTGCATAACTGCACCCCCCTTCACTCCTGTGGTGCACGCACACGTGCGTATGATCGACCAATCGCCGATGTGCGTGTTGCCTCTTTCTTTCTGCGTGGAATGTGAGTATACGTGCCGTGTAGGCGAGATTGCGTCCAGCGTGGCGTAATGGTGCGTATGCGCCGTATGTGATTTTTTTTTATTCCTCACCAAGGAAGAGGGACAGAAGTTAACCGACGCCGCGACGGTGCAAAACCGCGCGTGCCGAAGGTACATTCGGAACTTTGCTTTCGGGCCGAATGGTACGAGCGATACCGTGCCATCTAAATCGTCGCAAGATGTGAATATGGAAGTTACGTCTCGTCCACAATGCTGTCGTCTTTATACTGTATTACAATAATATGCCAAGAGGGCATGATGTCTTTATGTTACCTGATGCAGATCCAGAGGGTCAGATTTTTTAAACATCGTTGTCGATGATTTAATTATTAAATATTCTGTGAATATAATGTTTGGATAATTATACATAGTTGAACATACAACTCCTTATAAGTGACGAGATCTGAAAAAATCTCACCATTAATCTCTCCTGTAAAAAAAGCAGAGATATTAAACGCGATCGCGCGATAATTCTTTTTCCGTTCTCGCCAGGTGCTATTGTCTCTCACATGATTCCCAGCCGAGTCTGAATTTAAAGAATACGTAACGCGTCGCGTTAAACGATTACCCGCTCTCTCGGTCGCCTTGCACGCACGATTTCGTCTGGGTCACAACAAGAAGCGTATCTCGAATAAACGGGAACGTCGTCTCGGATTTAATTCTCGTTTACGAACGTACCCTCCCCTTCCCCTCCCTGCCTGCCTTCCGCCCCCCGTCCGCTCCACCCCTCCTCCTTTCTCCTACTTGGCTCGTGAACGTATATTGTATATCCTACGGAGGGTAGACCCCGGTTCTCTGTATTTACCTGTCACCTCGATGACGATCGTGACGAGGGTACTACGTGTACCCGGCGTACCCTTCGTTCTTGAACGCTGTTCAGGGTACGAATACATATAGACGTCTTGAATCTGGCTCGTGTGTCGCGTACGGTTTTTCATGAGCTTGCTCGCACACGCGAATTATCTAGAGGTATTAAAAATAACCTGCGGTATACGGATTCCCGACGCTATTAATGGATTTAATTCGAAGGCATTAATAAGAATTATTGAGAACTATATTAACGTCGTTCAATTACAATTTGTATCGTTAATTGGCAATAATGAAACCACGTGCGCGAAATCTACTTTAATTAGCCCGTATAACATGATATTTGATGTAAAAACTTGTAAGAGAGTAGTTAAAAATCAATACGCGTACAAATATGGGGTCGACGATTTCGCCGCATGCCTCGCACAGGAGGGGGAACATTGGTAAACAGCGATCAATTATCCGCGCGAGTCTCGTGGCCGAGCGTAAATTATCTCGTTCTCGCTTATATCTAGACGAGGTACGGGAAATCGTCACATTTTTCATGGAGATTAATCGAGTCGACAAACGAGTTCGATCGATGAATAATCGAACCGGGAGGGCGCGATAAATCGGCTCCTGCTGGCCCGGTGGTAGCTACTGATTCCACGCGCGATTTGCATACGCAGGAACGTGTCGCGGTACCAACGACACCCCAGACCCACCTTCGATTATCATGAAAATGTCTCGAAAACGTGTGTCGCATTGCAGACACACTCGCAGACGGTTCGCCAATGACGCACGTCGGCTCTCGCCGACGAGAGAGAGAGAGAGAGAGAGAGAGAGGGAGAGCGACGGAGACGAGAAGGGGAGCCCCTTGCTCGCCAGGAACAGGGGCTACCACACGAGACACGAAAATTGGCATAAATGAGATTGATACGACTTTAAGTTACTCCACGTGAGAGGCTCGCCGCTCGTCGAGATTCTGGTCCCGCCACTCGTCACGCCACTTTGCGCGCGCTCGCCTCCTCGTGAAGAAAAGCGCTCCAAACGACGCTCTCGATTCGAGGCGTCCGACCAGATACGCCCCTGCCGTTGACCGGCGTGTCGTTTCAATAACGATCTGCGAGAACCCGTCTGCGGAAAGTGACGTTAAGAAAGAAAGAGAGAAGAACCAGCCAGGTAACCTACAGTGGCGAAGCTGTATTAGCGTCGACCTATTTTGGGTCGTACCTCGATGGCTCCGATGAATCGAGTGCGCTTTTCTCTTTATTCTCCCGAAGCGTTGATGGTGAATGTGCTTTGCGACAGGTGGCATTTATATGTTCTTATATACGTATTTATCTCTCTTGCACCGAGTATAACGTCGGTGCAGGAGGAATCTTAAAAATACCGTAATCGATATGTATCAGCTGATCTCAAAGACTACAACTTGTTCCCGTCACATATTTGCATGCACATTAATTTCTTTTAAATTGAGTTGTTTTTATAAAATAATATATAGTTGTACAAAGTTATCTTTTTAACTTTGTTAGAAAGTTTCGGTTTTACAAGAAAACTTTTATGACACTATTTGGCAAATATAGCATTTTCAGTACTTTTTAAATATTTAACCTATTAAGTAGAAAAATTATGCTAATTTTTCTGATTAATTCACTCGATAATTCTGAACGTTAATAAATAAATGAGCAACCATTTGCTACATAATTTTATTCTCATATATTATAATAGTTAAAAAATAAATACGAATTAATTGATACTCTCATTTTATACACAACTCTTTATAACTTTTTAAGGATTTCAATCGCTTGCAAAAACACACCGCCATCGTGAAGATGCTCCCACGGATGGCGAAAGAACACCGTGTACGAGGGTGACCGCGCGGAATCTGGGAGCGGCGGCGTGTAGAACAAGTAATAAAATAATTTTAACGACCGGCTTGAATTATGCGCGTGGTACAAATAATAATATCTGCCCGGCACGCATCCCCGCAATAAATATCGAAGGGGTCCCCGGGTTCTCTCCCTCCCCTCCCCTCTTCCCCGTCGACGATCCAGGAACCCTCGAGCGTACCCTCTTCACGATACACCTCGGCGAGGCTCATGTGCTCGGTTATGTGGAGCAGAGGCCCCCGATCGCACCGAGGGGGGGACCTTGCGAAAAGGGGCCTGACCTCGTCGCAGTGATTCTCCGCTCTTGTCGCCGAGCGATTGCCGAGCAGTTGCACAGAGACGATAACGTGGGAATGTCGACGTGGCCGATGAGTCTCTATATGCGTCTCAACAAGATTCGCGTCTTTTCTTCATTTCAACGGAATACGCACGATCGAAAGCATTTTCTAAAGCAATAATAATTTTTTATCAATCTATCGCTAACTTGTGATTAATTTTCATGATGTATTCCTAGTAATCTTTCTTGATTTCAACAACATAAACGTATAATAGTATAACGCGATCACTTGCGAAAATTTAGGATTTTGCCAGCGTTTCTCTTAACGCAATTACGTAATTGCGTTAAGAGAAACGCTGGCAAAATCCTAAATTTTCGCAAGTGATACACATACGCGTGTATATATCCAAGATTCGCGAATCGGGATCGTGCCGGGCACGTATTGAAATTCCAGGCGCGTTGGATGACGTTCGCGTACGCGGAACGAATCTCCTCGAGGTTTCTTGAATGCATCGGGAGAACCGTGTCGTGCAGCGCGGACGTCGTGTTGCCGGCAGGTGACAGACGTAGCACGAATTAAGTGTCGTAAGATGGTGGTGGGCCGCCGTACGAGGAGTGTACCATTGTCATTTCCCGCCGCGCGCACCGAATTTCGACGTGGATTCCGAAGCGTGTCGATGGATCGATCGTTGCAATAATACCGGACGTTTCCAAACGACTCGGCTATTGTGACGCTGGCCCGCGCGACCCTCCGTAAAAATAGAACGTCGCATCAAAACAAACATAAAAGCAATTCCGTCGTACTTTCGCCGGTACGAATCGTCACTTTAGCGAATCGCACGAGCCACATCAATTGCACCGTACAAATTTTCTTTCTATGAGATTTCAATAAGGTGTAAAAGCATAAATTTGCATTATGGAAAAACAATGAGGAGCATCTTAATTTTAGGTTTTTTTTTCTTGACAAAACAATTAAACGATTCAATTCACATCAGTTTCTAGAAAAGAAATAAAATAAAATAAAATAGGCAGGCATCTTCGAAGGCGGAGTTTGACGAACATTTAAATTGGCCGACGGGATATTGCATCGTGCGGCTGCGAAGGCTATCCGGTTGCAGTGCAGATTTTGCAATGCAAGAAAGAAAAAAGCGTTTCGATGTCGGGAACCAGAAAAGAGAGGCGGAAGAGGCGAGGGAGATGCAGGGGCGGAGGGAGGGGAGAGATGGGGTACGGCAAGAGAGAGATTATGTCGTCAAAACGGACGTGCGGCGTAGACCGGCGGTTGTGCCCATTGGCCGTTGACAGCGCAATGAGATCCTGATTTGCGCGGATGTATTTAATCGCGCGCGGAGGCGCGCGAGAGAGTTGTGGCTCGCGCGAGCGAGCGAGCGAGCGAGCGAGCAGTTGCGCGCATCGTTTAGCAATCAGGGAGAATGATGCAGCCAGAACGCCCGTCCGACCGGGCCGGTGCAGCGAGATGCCGTAGCTACGCGCAATCAGTATGCCCGCGCAATTTATTTGTACACCTGTGCCCATCGCGGTCCTGCGGGACGCGAGAGACCGATCCGGGATCCGGGCTTTCACGCATGGTTACGTAGTCACGAAAGAACGAAAACTTGATGTTACGCCCGCGTAGAAACTGACATAAATCGTATCTTTCAAACGAATTTCCATTGGAGAAGATTGGATTCTTCTTGAGAGAAATGTGCATATTTTAATAGAAATTAAAATTCAACGTTTTCTATTAATTAAAATTAGCCAGATTATTGGATTTGATTAAAAGATTATAAATGTGTTGAAATAATGTAATGTATTTCTTTATTCTTGTAGATTGTTTCTAAATATCTAATCTTGCTTTAATGCTAGATTGTATATATTTTATACTTGGAAGATAATAATATTCACTCAGGGATACTCAAGATTTGCACCTGTCTCTAAATTGTTGAACAATTTTTTGACAGGAACAAACTATTATACGATTATGAATATGAATTTAGTGTTAATAAATGTTACAGGAATAATAGTGACAACAATAGCAAGATTAACTTCTGCTTTTGGCAGTCTTTTCTTGAGGCATTAGGCCTTTTTATAATAGAGACTTCCAAATCTGAACAAATTCTCGACAAAAGATGGATACCCTTGCACTTTAGTAGTAGGCTTGTAGTATTTTTGACGGACATTATTCCTTTGTTGAATATATATATTTCTAACAACGTCTTGTCACGTCAAAGAGCATAATAATAATTATTATTAGATGGCTGATAATATTATATCTTTGTTCTTATTGTTAGCTTGAACAACCGCACATTATGACACCAAAAATATCTGACGCTTATCACCATATAATCTTATTTTAAAACTTATACAAAATTCATATAATAAAAAGAAGGCTAAACGGTAGATTAGCATCTTGGCTGATCTGATTTAGTCCATTAAGAATTATTATTTTTCTAAAAATTATTTATGCGTTAATTCTGTTGACGCAATCTTGGAATTTTACTTATTAGAATAGAAATTCATTTTTTGACATTTCTCCATCCTAAATTTACTGCCTTTCAGATACAAAAAAATAAGTTTTCACTTTTATAGTTTTTTACACTTACGCTTTCTCTTTTATAGCACTAGGCCAAATTTCCTTTCTTTGCAGGCTAATAAAATCATCCATACTATTTTTCTCCTCGTAAAGTACAGCCAATTTTCCACCATATTTTCTTCATTTAATTTATAAAAGTGTCATGTCAAAACTATAAATTTTATCGAATGACTTTTATATAGCTTATTTCTTGTTACAAGAGACCATAAGAAATTATAACATATCTTTTTTTATCGAAATAAAGTGTTTTTATCAACATAACGTACTAAAGAAATTATGTTCACATTTCTAACTTTTTACATATCCAAAAAATTTTTGCGTTTTAATTTTAACATAGAGAGAGAAATGAGGTTGACCATATACCAAATCAATTAATCGAGTTCAGGTTGCAGAGTACAACATCGAAATACTTTCGAAATTCGATACTTATTAAATTTACTAAGTTATTTATAAAATTTTACTGGAACAGTTAAATATTTTCAAATAATTTTTGTCAAAATTGCTCTGTCAACGAAATTGATTTTATCTATGATGATGACAGTAATCCTCTTTACATAGTAATATATTTATGATAAATAACAAACAAAAGTATCAATGATATATCTTTATCATGCTGTATTGATAAAAAGAAGTACGTTAATGGTTTCTTCTTGTGATAGAAAGGAAACTATAATGGCCACTTGGTAAAACCAACTGCTGTAAATTTCTATCCCAATGGTAGGTTGCTCGTCTGTGGTTCGGACGAGCGAGAGATTATTTGGATTCCGAAGAATGGCAACAATCGAGCTTTGTAATCGGTCCTCGAAACGATAAAGACTTTGTTGGCTACCCTTCCGGTGGCACCGTTCTCTCCCCGTCGCAACCACCCCCTGATTTTCGCTCGATCTCGCCCTTTCCCCCTCTCTCCACCTTCCTCCTTTCTCTTCGTCTCGTACACACACACACACACACACATACACACAATCTCCCTTTCTCTCGTTACTCGAGCTCTAAGAGCTAGCCCAATGCTATCACCTGTTGACAATCGGACGCCTACGAATTCGCCCGCGTATCGTGCGATCGTGCTCTCCCTCTCTCAGTATCCTCTTCTTTCTTCACTTTGACACAGAGTTTGACGGCGTTTCTAAGTTCGATGAATTGGAGAGAAGTTTATTTTGTAAAAGCGGTCAGAGCGAAATGTTGAAGTGCAATATTTAATAAGTCGATTTTTAGAATTGATATAATTATAAACAGTTATGATACCTATACACAATTGTGTGTGTGTGTGTGTGTGTGTGTGTGTACTGCGCGTACGCGCGCGCCACTCGCACACACACACACACACCACACACTATACAGTATATAATTGAATATAATTGAATACAGTATATAATTGAATTATTTTAAACAAGAACTAATTTGTTCTGCATTTTAGCGAATGATAAAAAATTTTGTGGTACAGTGGGGTAATTTGAATAGTGGGGCAATTTGTAGAACAGTAAGCATTTGCAAAAATTTCAGAAAAATAAGAGATTTTAAGATACATTTCATTAGATCAGACATTGATCTAATAAAATGTATCTTAAAATCTCTTATTTTTTTGAAATTCTTGCTTACTATTATCCAAGTTATCCTACTATTCAAATTAACCTGCTGTATCTTACAAAGTCTTTTTCGCACCTGTCTTTAAATTCCTAAAGAATTTTTTAAAAGTACAAAGTCCTTTGTTACTCGCAAAAATGTAGAAAGTCCTTAAAATAAAAAATGATTCTTTGATTTTCAGAAAACAAAAGGCTTAAATTCTTAAAGTCATTAAGTCCGCAGTCTTAAAAAAAAATGTAATGCCTTTATCGTGAACATTGACATTTTTCATTTGACACAATCTCTCAATATCTGTTCTGTAATTATTATGTTTGGCATTATAGTTTGATATTAATCATTATCAAAATTAATGAGTTAAATTTTATTGCTAACAAAAAATCGATTATCCGCAATAAAGAAATTTATCATCAGTACTTTCGTTTGCTATAAATACAATTTTGTAAATATGCCATAAGAGAGCCGTATCATCGATAAAATCAGTTATGTCAGTGGAGCAATTTTGACGAAAATTATTCGAAAATATTCGACTAAGAAAACATTTTCAGTGAAATTGTATAGAAGTAATTTACTGCACGTGCACCACATTTAGGAGGGCCCGTCGCTTTGCACAATAGATAGTAACGAGAAAGGATTTCGCTTTCGCGCTACGAAGAGACGTGCGCTTCGCGCATCGCGAAAATCGATGCATGCGTCGCGAGAGGAACGTAATCGCAAAACCAAAGGTCTCGGTTCTCGAACGTCGGTCGGATATGAATGAACGCGAGCGCGGCACGAGACGGCCGGCCCGTTCGTGCGGGTAGAAGGAGATCGATCG